GTTTTATGTCTGTTCGAAATAAAAAAATAAATAAAAAAAATGTTTTATGGGTGGAGTAGTTTATTTTCCCTGTCCTATTCATTATAGCTTTTTAAGACAAAGCTAATTGAAAGGGGCACTGAGCAGAGTTACAACCAGAGATTACAAATAATTACTTTTCTTTCTTCGGCAGTTCGGCGCCCCCTCCAGCAGATGGCGCTCTAGGCGACCGCCTAGTTCGCCTATGCCAAGAGCCGGCTTTGCACCCAGCCCTGGTGGCACTCCTGCCAGAAATACAGAAATGAAATAATTTTGCTGGTTGAGAGTCTGACTAAAATGAAAGTAAGATTTGATCAAGATGAACTGTTACATKATCTAAAAAATACGTGACAGCTGTCAGYCTCTGAAACCGGTTTATTTCCAAGGATCTGAGTGGTTTTCCCCTGCAGTTCCACTCCCCACCAACAGGTGGCGGTAAACCGCCGACTCGCTGTTCACCAACCAGCACCACGAACCCACGAAGAAGAAAAAGAAGAAGCTCACGCTTTCCATCATGGCTGCTATCGGCATCCACTTCGGCCATACCTGCGCCTGTGTGGCGATTTTTAAGGTGAGTGACGTCCTCTCAGTTTTTACCTGCCGGAAGCAGCGCGTGCCGTCWTGCTTCAGCACGGAGTCCTAGGGGTCTGATGGGATCTTAAAAAACCCAATTAAATAGCGGATCCTCGTGTCCACAGAGACATGTTGGTCCTGGGTCCTTCATTGTTTTATGCCGGGGGTGGTCATAATGTTATGGCTTCTTACTGGAAGTGACCAGACGTTGAAAACTCCTGATATAAAGTAAATTTATTTAAACTTTTATGAAAGTGGAGTATATAAACATCCTGTTTTACCTCTCTGTGTGAGAGTAGAAATGTTTTGCTCAAACAATATCRCTGTCACGTGGTTGTGTCTGGACTGAGTTGACTCCAGCATCCAGTTTCTGAGAGTTTTCATTCAGCTCTGTCAAGTGGATCTTGAGATATTTTGCTAACAGACACATTTCCCTCCACCTTGACCTCTGTGTTTAGGATGGTCGTGCTGATGTGGTGGCTAATGATGCAGGAGACCGGGTGACCCCAGCTGTGGTGGGCTACAGGGACTCTGAGCAGGTAAACCATCTGTGTCAACATGTTGACTGTTGTGTCAGAYCGACAGAAAGAAAACCCTCAAACCTGTGAAGGTCTGAAGCATGAGTTAAAGCAGGGGTTCGTTTGAGCCCGGGGTCCAATTTGTTGAACATAAAGAGGCACGAGGCCCAGTCAGACATTACTAATGTACTCATCAAAATAATTATTCTAAATCTTGGTTTAATTTTTATTGTATTTACAGCGGGTAAAATAAGTATTGAATACGTCACCATTTTTCTCAGTAAATATATTACTAGAGGTGCTAATGACATGAAATTTTCACCAGATGTCGGTAACAACCCAAGTGATCCATACATACAAAGAAATCAAAAAGAAAAAAATTGTGTAGGTCTTCTGGATAGGTTCTTCTCTAATGAAACGTTTCGTCTCTCCTCCAAGAGAC